ACGTGCACAGGGCCCTGGCCTCTCCCAGAGTCCACAGACCTGGGCACCAAGTGTGATCAGGACCTGCAGCCCCTACCTGCAAGGCCTGTGGGTGAGGTCGGCCATTTGTGTCCCCAGACCCTGTGGCTGTCCCCGGGCTGCTGGGAGGTGAACAGGGTCCCCAGCAGCTGCGTGGTAACCTTCCCCACAGAGCATGAGATGGTGTTTGTGTGATGGGATCACTGTCAGTGTCTACATGCCCTGCACAATGTTGTGACATTGCCTAAGTCTTATATTTAAAGAGAAAGTTTACAAAGCTGAATAATCACGAATGGGAGAGAAAATAACAGTCACCCTCAGTGTAGTGAACTTGGGCAAATTAAAAATGTGACGTATTATCTGCTTATCACTTACACCTCATTTTCAAAATAATCAGTAGTGGTAAAAGAGAGACAAAAGGGCCTTCACACGCGTGGGGGGACGTTTTTTAGGAGAAGTGTGAGTGAAAGCAACTTAAATATCTCATGACATTTCACCAAGTGCTTTTATATCTGCAGCTAAACAAGTATTTCAAAAATGGGGACAAAGGCCCTTGGGCTCAGGGACAGCTCTCAGCCCTTGTGGAGCCAGGGGCCCAAGCCCCACCCTGCCTCAGGCCCCGGGGTGGGGGTGGGGGTGGGGGTAGGGGTAGGAGGCGGGCAGCCTCAGCTCACAGCCTGTGGCGACGAGGACTCAGGAAGTTTGACTCCCCAACTGTAGCAGCCCTGACCGTGGGACCAGCTGTGGGTGGTGAAACGTTTACAGACACTACTAACTACCAGCATGTCCAGCCTTGCGTCAAGCCTGCTGCCTACTGCCCTCTTTCCTGATGCGAAGGGCAGCCCAGGGGCCGTGGGAGCGACCGCCGCTGCAGCCTCTGTGTCAGGGTGTTGTGAGCTCATTGTCAGGACACCCAAGGCCCACGGTGCTGCCTTGCCCCAAAGGCCCACAGACGTTCGACACCTCTGTGGGCAGACGTGACAGGTCAGTTTCCTCCTTCTCTCGCTCTGCCTTTTCAAAACCCTCTGCATGCCATGAATCTTCCTATAATCAAGAGAGAAAATCAACTTCAAAGAAGCATTGTCCTTCTAACCAGGAGAGCTGTGTCAAACAGTGCTTTTGTCCGCTCTGTGCTGCGCTGCAGAGCTGGGGCCTCGGAGCTCCTGAGCCCTTTCTCCCTGTCTCCATGACAAGACTAAGCCCTGTCCTCTATCTCCCTATCGCCACCAGGTCAGCCAACCGTTTGCCCTTGAAAAGGGAACAGACCAGAAAACAAGGCATGAGAGCTCACCCACCTGCGGACTTCCTTTCGTCCCTCATTTCCTGGGCAGAAGAGGCCAGGGTAATTGCCCCCCCAAAACGCTCCCCACGTATCCAACCAGAGACCTCATGGAGCCAGGTGATCACCATGAGGGACTCTCTGGTAGCCCTCAAGTCCCACAGGAGCAGAGGGTGCCTTGAAGTCAAGTTGACCAGGCACTGAGCCAGGGTGGCCCCTGGAGGGTGGGACCCCAGGGAAGAACCAGCCTAACCTGGGGAGTCCCCTGCCCGTCAGAACAGGAGACAAAATCTGACGACGATCCGTAACAGCTGTCAAGGGTGGTTTGCGTCTTTCTGTGCCCTCAGTCCCCAGCACTAGCACTGAGGGTGGAAAGGAACACGCACGTCCGCGCTGCACCGAGCGAGACGAGCACGTGGAGTAAGAAGCGGGCTCTCTGCTTTAGTTCACGTCCTTCTGACCGTCAGTAAATGACTCGCCCTCGCCGCTGTGGCTCAGTTGGTTGGAGCGTCCTCCCGTGAACTGAAAGATCTTGGGTTTAATTCTCAGTCAGGGCACATACCTAGGTTATGGGTTCAGTCCCCGGTTGGGGCGCTTGTGAGAGGTAACCAACCGATGTTTCTCCCTCACATCGATGTGTCTCTGCCTCTCTCTCTCCCTCCCTTCCCCTCTCCCTAAAATCAATAAGCATGTCCTCAGGTGAGGATTAAAAATAGAACAGAATAGAATGAAATGAAATGAAATGAAATGAAATGAAATGAAATGAAATGAAATGAAATGAAATGAAAAACTCTAATGTGGCTACATTTCCCAATAGGGCCCATGCCTCCGATGGAGACCCGCTGTCTTAGGGATGCTTGAAGCCAGAGCTCTCGAAGAGAGCAAGGAGCCTGCCCTGCAGACTCCGAAAGTAAGGCTGAGAGAGTCCGTAGACACTCGCAGCCCCAAGGTGAAGCTGAGCAGAAGCAGTATTTGGATGGTTTGCCTGTGTTCCAAGAGCTCTGATGCCCTCAGACAGGACTCCCAAGGGACACGTTTCTCCCTGGGTCACAGTGCATCACCAATTCCCAGGAGGAACACCTCCCACCCAGGGGCAGGAACAGGTGACAAACACATCTGAGACGCCACTGCTGTCCCCCTCTTCTGGTTGAGGATGCGGCCTGGGCACAGGCTTACCTCCGCCATGGCTCTGGCACAGGTACGGGAACCTCCAGATGTTGCCCAGGCCCACGGCAAACCCCACACAGCTCAGGACATACTGGAGCTTGTTGTCCCACTTGGGCCTCTCGTCCCCACTGCTGTCCCCCAATGAGTCTGGTCCCGGGGTGCACGCCATGCCTGGTCTCCCTCACCCTGGTGACTCAATTCTTGAACTTCTGCTGGCGCTTGCAGCCAGGTGCAGTCTCCCCTTCAGGTATATTTTTTGTTATTTAAAGGAAAACTGTAGAGCCAGTTAATCGGTAACTCAGGCCAGGCCCTGGCTCTGGCAGGCAGTCCCTCCTCGGCCCCCTCCGGCCCCAACCTGCCTTGTATGGCCAATGCTGACGGCCTGCAGGTGCCCTACCAACAAACCATTCTCAGCAAGGGCCTCTGTTCCCAGTGGGGACACTCAGGGGGCCCAAGCCTGGGGCCCATTAGGCTATCTTGACTGTGCAATAATAGTCTAAGAAACACCACAGAGAGCTCGTGCCCCCAGGTCCCTTAGTGGCAACACCTTGCAAGTATCTGGTCAACATCACAGCTGGATGTTGATGTTTTGCTGTCACTTCAGGGCCCGTCCATCACCAGAGGGTCCCTCCTGTCCCCCTTGCTGGCCACACTTATCTCCCTTCCACTTCCACCCCCTCCCTAACCCTGGCAACCTCTCACTATAGTTGTTAGTTGAAGAACATTATGGAAATGGAATCACACAGTGGTGACCTTTGAGGTTGTGTGGGAATGGGATGGGAGGGGTTTCCTCCACTCGACACTGCACCTTCCCCCACACCCTCAGCACCCAATGCCACCATCAGCACCCACTGCTGTCCTCAGGCAGCAGGCAAGACAGGAGACACCCACTGCACACAGTGGGGGCCTGAGAGGTTGGGGGACCAGTCACTCCATCCCCCGAGAGAGAGGAGATGTGCTCACATGGGGTGGATTAGCCTAGTGCTCTCACTGGGGGCTCCTTGGACAGGGAGACCCCCCCCACTGCAGACTCTTCCACCGGCACAGGCCAAGGCCCCAGGCTCACAATTCTCACTTATCCAGGATGCAGTGCCTCTCAAACATGTGGCCATGTTCCCAAATGCATGGGCCCTGTGAGTGTGGGTCCTGTGGACACAGTTTTAAAAGATTCTTTTTGGGGTGAGAGGGAAAAGAGACAAAAAGGAGAATCAAAGAAGATGAAAAGGAGGAAGAGGGAAGGAGGAGGAGGGAAAAGGAGGGTGGGGCGGTGTGGCCCAGCCTGAAGCACCTGCCTGGGCCTTTCCCACCATTCTTCTTACTCCCTCTCCCGGGCCCCCAGCCCAGCAACCTGGCCAGTGGCTCTGACGTCCTGAGGTTAAGGCCCACCCCCAGCAACACAGGGCCCCTCAGGCAGCAGCCAGGGCCACCCACCACGCCTTGGGCTCCATGGACACCACACTGTGGCTTCTTCAGAGGCAGTCCTGGAACCCAGGACAACAGCCCTGCAGCATCCCTTCCAAAGGGCTCGGTTGTTCCCTCTGCTCATCCCTCTGTATTTGGACAACATTTAGGCTGAGAATATGAAATGCAGTGATTTATTTAGACCAGGTACACTTTCTGCTCATAAAACCTGCATGTCTAAAAAATTGCAAAGACAATAAGTCTGTAAAATGAGGCACTCCTCAGGTGACAGGAACTGACGGGATCAGCCCCACCCCATCTCTCCTGTCCTGTACTTCTTGGTGGGGCAGTGCATCCACAGGATACTGATGAGCATTTCCCTAATCAAGGGTCAGAAGGCTCTGTGGATAGAAGGAGGTGAGGTCCCACGGAAGCCATTGACACCTGGGGGTGGAGACCAGAACGGTGTGAGGTCTGTGGGCTTCCTGGGCAGGGACACGGTGTCATGGCCTGGGGTGGAGGGCATGGGCTGGCCTCCCACTCTACCTCCAGAGGTTTCCGTAGATCACAACATCCAGGTGATTGGCCATATAAGAGGACTCCAGACACTGGGAGGCATTTGGAGGTTCTCAGCAAGGCTTCGGGGCTGAAATGTGTGGTCCCCATTGGACAGGAGGTGCTCGGAGGGGAGGGTGTGTTGGGGGGTCTCCAAGTGGACAGACAGAATGTGGTGCTGGGACCCACCCTCCACTCAGCTCTCCCGCCCCTGCCTAGAGAATTCTCAGAAAGTCCAGTTTAACTTAAGCTTCCAGATGTTTCCATGGAAAGTGGAAGTGGCCAGTTCATTGAAATAAATGCCCCAAGTACCAAGTAACTTCGGATGAGGTTGGATGTTGCACCCTAGGATGCAGCCTTTCCATGATGGGGGAGGAGACAACACCGGCCTTCACTGAGTGGCACCAAGTGGATGGTCTTGCAGGGTCTTCATGGTCCTGACATTGCTCGGGACCTATGGACTGTCCTCAATGTCAGTGACCAAGGCTGAGTTACCCTACAACCCATCCTTTCCAACACCAGGCTAAAAATTCACACAGTTAATGTTCTCTTAAAAACACACACACACACACAAAGGATGTTTCTGCCTTAAATTATGCCAAGTTGAGTTTTATTTAACTGTCATCTATTTGTGGCAGCCAGAGCAATGATTAAATGGGTTAGTGTTCATTAAGCTGGAACACTGCCAAGACTCAGGAACTCTTTGCCAGCTGGTGGACAGGCAGGTATCACGGGCCTAAACCCCCATGGCCTCTTCCAGACAGGGCTCCTTGTCGTGGGGTAAATTACAACATTACTGCAAGAACTCCTAGGTCAAGGGGTCAACAGTGAGGGAAACGGGGGGCAGCAAGACTGTTCCAAGGAGTGTTGCTGTCTCCCATAGGATGAGCACAGCAGTTATGGCCTCCCTGCTGTCGCTTTGGACTTTCCTTTGGAAGGCAGGGCAGCATGTGAGCACAGGCCCCACCACATCCGTGAACACAGGGAACCAAAAGGGCAGCCAGGCCCCACATGGGGGATGTGTATGCTGTGGAGCAACCTGTATGCGAACATGTGTGCACATGCACACACATATTGCATGCACATGTCCATATAAATTACACACAAACACACACTCGCACTTAGACACGAACACTTATATGTATGCACACATGCATGGGACACATTATACATGTGTCATACATGTATGTTCATAAATACCCAACTTGTGTGTTCTTGTGCACACATGTGTGCACAAGCTCGCACATATAGGCACACATGCACATGTGGTTGTGCATGCCCATTCATGCGCATGTATTGTCATGTGTGTGCACACCCCACACATGCATATGCATGTGTGTATGCATGCTAATACATGTGTGCACAAAAATCGTGGAGACCTGCACGTGGATGCACATGTGTGTGTGCTCGTGTGTGCTTGTATAACCTGTGTGCACACATATATGTGCACACCTACATGCACACTCTCTCTCTCCCATGTGCACACTCACGTGCTCACACATGCATATGAACATGCACATGTGCAGCCGTGGACATTGTGCTCAGTACTTCAGGTCTCCATTCATAGAGGCTGTGGACTGGGTGCTGATCAGCTGCTGGTTTTTTTCCCTCTGGCAATAGTTCCTGATGAATTTGTAGATGGCAAAGCAGGGGATAGTGAGGCAGGGCACGCCAGCAATGAGGACCACCACGGCGTACACCCAGTCTGGGTATGAGACCTTCTGGGACTTGGGAAATTCCTCCTAGGAAGAGAGCAACCACAGGATCAGCAGATACAAAGACAGCCAGTGGGGTCTCCTTTGGGGGTACAGTGCCCCCTTCTCCCCAAGATTCTCACATCCTCACCCTTGTGGAGGAGGAGAAGGAGACCCAAGGCTCCTCCACCCCCACATACCTCCTCACAGGAAATATGATCCCCTGCCTCCCCCACCTCCTCTGCCCTCCCTGCTTCCCTACTTCTTCTGCCCCCCACACCTTCCCCACCTCCCCTAGCCCCTCAGGTAGTCCCCCATATGCCTCCTAACAGGGAACATGACCCCCACCCCCCACCCAGTAGCCCCTTTATGCTCACATAGGAAGGATCCCAGACACTGTAGATCAGCTCTTCATTGACCTTGACCACGAAGAAGAACAAGAAGATGACCAGCATGAGCAGTGGGCTGACCACTCTCCATGTAATTTGCCAGAAGATGTTGGGCTTGTGGCCGATCATAAACTCAATGTCCTTGTTGAACCTGGAAGCAGAAGCCAATAGGGAACCGTCAGCTGGTGGACATCAGGGGCCTGTAATCCCAGCAAAGCACAGGATGGGCTGGCCTTTCCACGCCGGACACACGGCTGCCACCCTGAAGTGCTACATCAGCCTTGCCCCCGTTACAGTGGTGGCCATCCTTCCAGGCAAAGACTTGCCTCCCCTGGGAAGCCTCTGGGCACAGTGGCAGCCTCTCTGGAGGCCTATGGAGACCACCCTACAGAGCAAACCACAGCCTTGTGCTGTAACATGCGAACATTCCCTGGGCAATTAGTTATGCAAATAGGAGTTGATGCCTCTGGGGGGATGGAGAAAGAAAGCCTCAATCTCCTTGGCAGGGCAATAGCCCTGACCTTGGAGGCCCTACTACCTCCTGCCCATCCCGTGCTGAACCCTCTTTTACACAAATGAGTTCAGTATTGTAGAAATCAGAACAGAGTGGGCAGGATGGGAACGTGAACTGTCTAGGCCCACCGAGGATATGCAGGACACTTCTAGAAAAATAGAGATGCCTAAGCCTTGTATCCAGCAGGGCCTGGGAACATGGTGACAAGTCTCTTCTGCTTGGGGCCACTCCTGGCTCTTCACCTCCTGCTCACGTGACCTCCTTGAGGCGGCGTTGCGTGGGACCCCTGGCAGCAAGTGCCTGGCTTCACACTGTCTTCGGGCTGTTCACAGGTGGATGCACACTCATTAGGACGTTAACAGCTGCCTCACATCCAGCAGCAGGCGTTTCCACTGAGGCCTTCTTCCCCGGCACGTGCTGATGTGATGGCACAGCGAGTGAGTCTGCGCATGTACTCCTTAGTTGCTCCGTGGCAGTCGCTCTGTGGTGGCCGCCCCGACTGTGTGCATTGTGGCCGAGATAGGCCTCCTGTTCGTGTGCCCTTACACTCGCGTGTCTTGGTGATCCAGAACAGGACTCTCGCAGTGAGATTCCTCCCTCCCCACCCCTGGCCTGGTGGCTTATGCATCTCTCGTTAGTAGACGCCAACAGTTACTTCTAAAGTTGTGGTGAGACCTACTCCTGTCAGAGACCTGGTGTCATCTTCTGGATTTCCCCATCCATGATAATGAGGTGATGCCCTGAGTGCTTGACCAAGGGTATGGCTGAAAGGGCCGCACCACCCCCCTTCTTTGTCTGAGTCTCTGTCTGGCTGCATAGCTCTCTCCCCACAGACAGACCCAGAACATGCCCACCAGAGTGGTTTCCCTGGCCACGGACCCCCAGTTAACATAAAACACCCAGCTCCCTCCCCCTGGTCCCACAGGGAGGCCCCCTTAACCACTGCTAATGTCCCTGTCTTGTCACCCCCCACACGCAAGTCCCCTGCCTGCTCCCCAGCCCCTGGAGGCTGCTTCTGGGCCACACGGGACAAAGACCACCCTTATGAGTTTTCTGGTCCCTCTGGTCATGTCTCGTCTGCCAAGGGCTTCTGGTGTACCAGCGCTTTGCCTCCATGCCGTGCAGCTGTTTCTGTAGCTAATTATGTGTCTTTTGGCTTTGCTTATGACACTTTGGTTATAAATGTTTTTAAATCACATGGTCAGATCAGAGGCACCTGTATTTTCATTTGTGACTATGTGGCCCCCTACTGTCTGTGCTTAGCTTTCTACGCTAGGTCTGGAAGCATCTGGAAGCAGGACGGGATGCAGCTTCGACTGCTCTGGATGGACATCCATCTGGGATCCATCTCTTTTCCTCCCTCACCCACCCAGGTGCCAGACTGGTGCCCACACCACGTGGTTCCTCAGGCCTGTGTCCTGTGCACTTGTCTTCTACCTGGGGCTGGACAGGGGACAACTTATCCCAGGGTGGGAGTTTCCTAAGACTGTTGGAGACAGCCACATGCCTCAGCCTCCCTCCTACCTGTCCACGCCGTACACGTAGACCACGGCGAACATCTCGCAGAAGGCTATGATGAGCAGGGGGATGGAGCCGGCGTAGCCGTCCATCAGGGAGAGCCAGTACTGGCCGGAGTTCAGGGTGAAGATGAACGCGATGAAGTACGACCCCAAGCAGATGAGGCCTGAGGACGGAGAACAGCCGCTGCAGACAGGTCTCCCCGTCGGCCCCTCGGCCACCGTCCCCGAGGCCTGTCCTTGCCGCCGGCCTGCCCAGCCCTGGCCTGTGTACCTGTAAGCACCTCCTTGGGCCACTTTTCCGGGATAACTTTGAGGTCCTGCAGGGGCACAACCACACCTTCCATGTTCCCAAACATGGAGGACAGGCCCAGGCAGAAGAGCATGATGAAGAAGAGCACGGACCACAGTGGGGACACCGGCATCTTGGTGATGGCTTCCGTGAAGACAATGAACGCCAGCCCCGTGCCCTCCACGCCCTGCACGGATAAGCAGACGGGTCACACACGCACAGCACATACTCGCCACGTTCTCCCAGCCTCAGTTGCGTCCCTCTCCTTCCCTGTCAGCGCCTGGTCGGTTCTCCAGATGCCACGCCCACACTGTGCAGGTATTGGGCTCATTGGAGCTATCCTGTGAAATAACCAGTCTTTATCTCTTTAGCCTAATTGTTTTCAAGAGTTGAACTATGTTTTATGAACTGGACAGGGATCATAACATCCAGCAGCATTCAGGGCCCTGAGCTGCCTGGACAGACATGTGGCAGCTCTATGGACTGCTGTCTATTTCGGACCAGACACCTCCCCCACCTGACGATAATTCCTGAGATGCACCCGCATGGCCAGGTTCAGAGTCCTGAGTGACATCAACAGGGCCTGCATGGGTCCCCTACACAGCTGCCCCTGCCATGTGGCCCATTGGTTCATTAGAGCCAGTTAGAGCAGGCCACAGGGCATCCCGTGACAATGGGCTCTTGGGTGTCAGCCCCAGGGCAGGGCAGGAGGGTCAGAGGCAGGCAGGCATGTGAGGATGGAGACAGGCCCATGGGAACTGGGCTCCTGGAAGTTCAGTGTCCCCCAGGGATGTCTTCCCCCCACCCCTTGCCTTGAGCCTCTCCAAACAGTCTCACCTCTGACAGGAAAGAGTTCATGTCGCAGGTCTGGAACTTCAGCTGGGCGAAGGCCACGGGGTCAGTGTTGTTGCACCACTGCTGCATTTCCAAGAAGTTCTCCTGGGTGACATTGCCTTCAGGCAGGTCGAACCCGTTGATGAGCGTCAGGATGTTCCTGGAAAGGGAGTGAGGTTGATACCAGCCCTGGGCGGCACAGGCCTGGCGGGCTCCCTGGAGGTAGGCACGGGCCAGGAGCAGCACTCACTGGCTGAAGCAGTCGTCATAACGCTCTGTGGCTCGGAAGCCAATGATGGAGTAGACCACGGTGGCTGCGTACACGGATGTGAAGCCATTGATGACGGACACGATCACCGAGTCCATCTCACAGTTGTTGCTGCAGAGGAGAGCAGTGGTCACGCTGTGTCCACCTATCCAGCCACATCAGCACAGGCAAGGAGCCAGTCCTGAGCCTCAACTGCTGGGATACACTAAAAGAGGGAACACAGCCCACCCACCTGTCCTTCTCCAACTGCACCCAGCAAGAGGTGACCGGAAGGCCAGCCCAAGCCCTGCACCTATAGCTGGTGGTCCCTCCCTCCTCACAATGCCACCTGCACTGCAAGTTGGTGGCCTAGAGACCCCTGAAAGCTGTGGGGACCTCTAGAGCAGCCTTCAACCCCCAAAGTTGGGACGGGAGAACCTTGTGTGGCAATTCCGGCTCAGCCAGCTGCTGTTCTGGGCCCAGGAGGCGAGCACTCAGTAAGCACTCAGCCTCATGCCGTCGGGACAGGCCAGGGCTCACCGTCCATACTCCAAAAGCTCTGCAAAGGTAGCCCGGGCCATGTCCTCTACACCTACCCTGACACGCCTCCCCTTACCCCCTCCTGTGTCCCCTACCCCTACCCCACTGAACCCCCTTCTGCCCTCCCCCAGTTCTCCAGGTCCTGTCCCTACCCAGCTGAGGGTTCCCCATCATCAGCTCAGTATGTCCAGACCACAACTCCTGGCCTCCCCAACCTGACCCAGCAGCTCTCCCACTGGCCCCACTGCTGATGCTAACACCATCCTTGCAGATGCTTCCAACAGAAGCCTAGTCCCCTAGCTCTCAGGGAGACACAAATCAAAACACAGTGAGACACCACGTCCCACCCACCAGCACAGCCAGAATTAAAAAGTCAGAAAATAACAAGGGTCAGTGTGGAGGTGGAGAAATCGGGCCCCAACACCGCCCTGCCCAGCCCCCGCCCTCTCAGAGCATCCCCCCATGGCCAGCAGCCGGCAGACATCCCACTCACCCACTCCCTGTCTGAGTCTTTGTTCCCATCCCACCTTTTGCCTGTGAGCCTGCCCCGAACACAGACCCCAGCCTGGCCCCACACCCCTCCAGGGACCCCTTTTCCTGCTCATTCCATTTGTATCTCTGCCAGACCACAGCCACGGGTCCTAGCAGGACAGCAACTCATGCACCAGGCAGGGCACACAGTAGGTCCTCCATTGGTGCTTGTGGAGATGAACTGATAACAACAGCATTCCTCTGAAGATCCCTAGGGGCCCCTTCTGGGTGAATGTTGGTCTGGGGTGTACTGTGGTGGCCGGGCATCTGGGGTCCTGGATGCTGAGGGGCCACCAGAGAGTGTGTGTGGGGGACAGATGGGAGCATACTGGGGCTCCCCATTCTCAGGACCAAGGCACATGGGGAGGATGGTCATAAACAGGCCCCCCTTGAGGCACCTGGTGTGTGAAAATCTCCCAGACCCTCAGCCTGCCTCGCAGCACGGAGCCCATGGATCCCAAGATCCTCTGGGGTACCGAGGCAAGCCCAGCCCAGACCACTGGTCACTCACTGGACAGAGTTGTAGCTGGAGAAGGAGATGAGGCCCCCAAAGGCCAATGAGAAGGAGTAGAAGACCTGGGCCCCTGCATCCAGCCAAGTCACCGGGTTGGCCAGCTCCGTGATCTATAGCCAAGCAGAGAGACCCTCAGCCAGGTACCCCAAGATGAAGAATCACAGGAAACCAAGGGGGTAGTGGCCCAAGGGAGAGGTGTGAGCCTGGAGGCTGGCAACAGCTGAGGCCGCTGGGCAGGTGGTAGCTGGTGACTTGGAGGTGGCTGCCCTCAATCCACACAGAGCCCCACTCGAGCTCCCAGACAGCCCCCCACACAGGTCCAGCCTGCACACATGGCGGGGGGTTGGGACTGGCCGGGGCTGGTGTCAGGTGGGGAGGCCTGTCCCCCAGGGCGGCCTCTGCCACAGGAGCTGGAGGCCTAGGGTGGACAGCAGGAGACTCACGTTGGGTGTGAAGAGGAAGACGATGCCATTGGTGGCTCCCTTCAGGGTAAGGCCCCGAATGAGGAAGATGGTCAGGACAACATAGGGCAGCGTCGAGGTGATGTACACAGCCTGGGGGCAGGGCAGGAGTGGAATGAAGGGGACATGGGGCTCACGAAGAGAAAGGGAAGGTCCTGCAGGACCCCAGCTCCACTCCCCTGGGTACCCTACCACCCCTCACTGCCAGGGCAGGGAGAGGAGACATTTCCTATTCTGTCTGTACCAAGGACTATTCAGCTCCCCCTGGTCAGGGAGATACTGTGGGTCACTCTTGCTGCAGCTTTTTAAGCACAGGTTTGAGAACTGTCCAGGCCAGCACCACATCCCCTCCCAAAAAGACAGACATGGGGCGGTGACCCTCAGAGCCGGTGAAGGGGCAGCCAGCTCCTGCTTGCCCCCGTGAGCGAGCTCCTGAAGCCCAGCCCACACCTTGCCGGTGGTCTCGATGCCACGGATGGTGCACACGTAGAGGACACTCCAGGCACAGGTCAGGCAGAGCAGGATCCACCACTGCACAGAGCCAGAGTCACTGATGGAGGTAGAGATGTTGAGAGTCTCCCGGTACCAGTAGTAGTCCACGGCTGAGCTGCGGGCGCACTCCTCCACATAGCCTGCAGGGGGCACTCACACCCGTCAGCATGGGTCATAGAAAGGGAAGTGAGGAGGGGGGATGAGGAGCAGGGCAGTGCTGCTGGAAACCAGGCTGTGCTCCTGACTGACTGACACCAGGGACATAGTGTGCATGGAGAGGCAAGTGCACTCCCACACAGACATGTGTGCACACACACAAGCATATCTGCATGTGTTTGCACATGCACGCATGTGTGCACACTCACAAGACACACATGCACACATGGGTATCCCTGGGTGCAAACATGTACACAGGTGCCTACATTTGTGCACACAGATGTGTGAGCACATCGGACATGCATGCACACACACAGCCATGCACTGGCCACTCCCTGCCTATGGGATCCACGTTCAAATCCTGATTCGGATGTGTGCAAGCTGCCAACATGAGCACACGGCCCGTGCCCCCACAGGCCCCAGGCAGAGGGTCTGTTCCTAACCCTCCCTCTCTGGAAGGGGCCCCAGAAAGACCCAGTGGTAAGTTTGGGGCACAACACTGCAGAGAGGAAGGCCCTGGGGAATGCAGTGGGAAGGGACCATGGAGGATCAGGCGACCCCTCGGTGGGATGTTAGGGAGCAATGGGTCTCTACGACACCCAGTGGCATCCTCCCACCCTCCCTTCATTCCGACCTGGGCTGGCACCCCTCCTCTTGAGGTGGAAGCACCTTTCTAGAGGGTTTTCTCTGGCAGAGTGATCTTTTAAAATTCCGTCACAGTAGATGTGCTCTGATTTTTGACAAACCTGAGCCACAGCCATTTGAAGTTGGGGAAATCAGAAGGCGACTACTCATGGATTCTGCATGCTCAAAGGTGCCCATGGCTCTCGAGTAGCCATCCGTCCTGGCCCCTGACCTCCAGCCCCACCCTGCCTGGGCTCACCTGTCCGGTTGTCGTTGAGCGGGCACGAGCTCCAAGGCAGGGGCTCCTGGAAGGAGTTGAAGAAGTACCACATGACCCAGGCGATGATGGTGTTGTAGTAGAGGCCCACCATGAAGGACACGAACATGGACGCAATCCCTGGGGAGCAATTGACACTGCTGGGGGGCACCCCTGGGAGGTATTGCAGGGGGGGCATCCCTGGGAGTGTGGGGCACTGTGAGCAGGAGGGGGCAGTGCTGGGGGAGCCCCCTCGAGGACTGAGTGTGAGTAGACTCAGAGTTCCAGGGAACAGGAAGTGGTCCCTGAGGCACTTGAGCTCTGCTGTGGGAGGCAGTGGGGGACTCAGCTGTCTCTGCATCTACACGCTCCCAAACCCTGGATGCCCAGGGACTCAGAATAGCCTCTGCTGCCCTGCTGGTCTCTGTTGGCCAGGAGTGGCCCCAGCCTGGACCCTGCCACTGACGTCTGTGAGATGCCAAGGAAAGGTGTGCAGAAGGCTGGGGGCAGCAAGCCCTCTGGAAACAGAGGCAAAAGGAGAGAAGGAGGGAGGGTGCTTGCTGCCCACACTGGACTCAGGCAGGGGTGCGACTGACACGGCACCTACACGCACCTACACCTTTCAGGGCTGGGTGGATGGAGCTCCAGGTGCCCACGCTGCCCTTGCGCAGTCGCTGCCCGATGGCGAACTCCAGGTGCAGCAAGGGGACGCCCTCCACAATCAGCAAGATGAGGAACGGGATCATGAATGCTCCTGGTCAGAAAAAGGCAGCAGTGTGTCAGGTAGTGCACGCCAGACGGCAAAAGGCCCCCTCTGGAAACACAGGCTCTGGTAGAAAGTTCCTGCAGAACTTGCTCACAAATACAAACTCAGGACACTACCATCAACAACACACCACTCAGGATGGCCATTGGGACTGCTTTATGGGGAACACTTCATGCCACCTCGTGAGAGCGGCCAGCTTGCCTGCTGTCCCCCCAGGACTGTGCTTGTCTGGCAGGGTGAGCGCACGGCAGCTCCTGGGGAATTGACGAAGGTGTCCACATGCTGGACACAACACAGGGAGGCCACAGACCATGGTGAGGCCCCTCTGGGGCTCAAAATCCAACCAAGTAGATATGGATGGCACGCAGAAACTTCACTCAAAGGCAACAGTCAGCTCAATGTGACAATGAGATGAAAAGCAGACAGTAGTAATGACCCCTAGCTGGATCTCCCATGGGATGGGCGTGGGGGCTGCCCCAGGTCTGGGATACCGCTGGGGCTGCAGGCTCATGGGCAGGGACGACTCACTGGGTCACCATGCTGGTGAGGGTAAAGTTAAACTACAAAAAGAGTCGCCTCTCTCATGTTGCCTCTCTCATGTTGTCTCAGGAAAAAAACCAGTCTGTGGTTCCCAAATGTCCTTTGATCCCATCCCTACCTCAGGACATCGCTTTTACCCGCAGGTCCCGCTGCCCCTCTGTCTCCATCAGGGAACTCCTAGGCACCCTAAAAACCCCACTTGGGTAGCTGCTCCTCCAGGAAGCCTCTGCTGCCTGTGCTCCTGCAGCCCTCCCTCCTGCAAGCTCCCCCAGGTGTAACAGGGCACCTGACAGGTGTCCTGTCTGTAGGTGCCCGTGGTCAGGTGCCCTTGCACACCGATGGACACACATACGGAGGCAGAGATACGGTGGGACCTGGCCAGGTGCAAAGGTCTCGCAAGAGAAAGATGCAGGAAACGGGTGGGGGAGGGGTGGGGAAGGCAGGAGAGGCATGGGCTGGGGCAGGGCAGCTGCTGTCTTCAGGGGCAGGGCTGAGCCTTCCGCACACCTCTCTCTCCGGGAGGCAATGTGTGTGGCACAGAGTAGAAACTCCAGGAATGTTTGCTGGCTTGATGGGTGCCGGGCCGGGACCAGTGGAGGAAGGCAGTCCCCAGGGCCCCCAGGGCCCCCCACCCCACACACCACCTCTCCTACGTGCACTGTCACTAAGAAGGGGTATGGGGGGAGTCGGGGTGGCAGCACTGTGGACAGAGTGGGTGGTGCACTCGCGTTGATAATGGACCGCAGCTGATCGTGGCCCACTCAGGGAGTGGGTGAGTCCTGACTCTGACACACCCCCACTTCTTGGTTTGCAAAGCTGGACAAAACAGCTAGCTTTGTGATACACCCCTCAGATCAGAACTCCCTGTCACCTTCCGCATCACAGGCAGAACCCGAAGGCCCAGAAGGTGGGAGGGAGAGCTGGGTGGGGCCAGGACCCGGACTCTGCTGTCAACTCAACTCAGGGAGGATTTTGAAACTTTTGAAACTTTTGAAGTGCCCCTCTTCAGAAAAAGGGCCCACCAGCCCCCTGCCCCGCACCCACACAGGGGACATGGGTCCCCAAGCCCCTCGTGCGGCTCCCGGAAGGCTGAATGAGGAGAGCTGCTGGCCCTCGCCCGGGGCCACCCCTGCCACCTGCAGCCCAGACACAGTCCAGGTTGACCGCTGTCTCTCAGTGTGGTGGCAAGATGGACTCTGGCAGAGGTGGCTACATCTTGCTCCTTGCTGGTGGTGGACCCAGGAGACCAAGAAAAGGGACCTAACTAAGGTGAGGCAGCTGAGGTGCTGCAGGCAGAGGACATAGCCCACCCGGTGCCCCAGTTACCCGCCACTCTGGTCACAGATGTGCCGCTGTCAGAGACCTAGAAGATAGGCCTCCCCATGACAATGCGTCTCCACGTCACGCAGCACACGGCCGCCACCCCACCCAACGCGGCAAAGAGCTGTGGACGCCGGTCCATCGTGGGGGTGGGGTCTCCTCTGTAGTTTTCTCTGCTTTTCTGCATTCTACTTTTTTCATAATGTAAAGCTAAATATAAAGTAAATAATGGTTTGTTTTACTTTTCAATTTACCCAAAACTCCTGGAAATAACTGGAGGCAAGCTAAATTCTCACCAAACCAGGGCTGGTCACGCGAGTCCTCAGATCTGTCAGTGCCCCTCCCAGTTACAGAACCGTGCCCTCCCCCAGAGCTGGGGCCGCAGGATGGGAAATGCCACCCCGAAGGAGTCACCTGCCACGCCTTGTCATTGTCCTCAGCAATTTTCTCCTGGGGTTGGCCCCTTATCACTGTCCTCAACAATTGCTTTGTGGGCTTGGGGTGTTATCACTGTCATCAGTGAATGTCTCCTGGGCTTGGAGGACCAGGTGTTTGGCTCCAGAACTGAGTTGGGGAGCAGTAAGAGGCCCTCCAGATGGGCGGGAACACATGGGAGGGGCAGGGCATGGCCTGGAGAGGACAGCAGGTGAGCCACCAGAAGGGTCCCAAGAGGTGGGAGACCGGCAGTTGGACCTCCCTCCTCGCTTCTCTGAGCTGACAAACCTAGGACCCCTGGCTTTGCTGTCCACTTTTCAGGACCCAGGGGTGATATGGGACATCTCCTGGAGACAATGTGCCTGGAGGCAATGTCCCCACACTGCCCCTCGGACTCTCAAGGAGTGTGTTTCACTCCCCAAACCCCCACTTCCCAGGGGTGAACCCTTCTCAGGGGTCCCCAGAAACCCCTGCCCCCACCTGGCTTCAGCCCCTTCCCTTTGGAACTTAGCCAATGCTGCAGGTGTTGCCAGAACCTTGGCCCTAGGGCAGCCCTGGTGGGAGTCCAGGAGGTGACCAGGACCTTCAGAGAGAGTCAGTGACTCTCCTGCTGGGTGACCTCATGGGTTCCCAGGGAGGTCCCTTCACCCCTCCACTGGCATAGAGGTGACTGGGACAGGACCTGAGGCAAAAAGACAGACCCTCCAGACATTCAGAAGCTTTAGTCTTTGGCCAAGGAAGTGGGGGTGGGTCACACAGGTGACCTGGAAACAACCCCATCTGATTTCTATTCTGTCACAATGCCTGGTGAGAGCCTGCAGGTTCTTCAGAGTAAGAACAAACTCACATCACTAGAGAGCCCTTGTGCTTTCAGAGGAGGCTATCCCAATGCCCACAGCGACAGAAGCATCCTCTGAGCATCCAGCCAGCTCTGCAGAGCCTGTCTCTCCATGGAGTGAGTGCAGCACCTACCCAGACCTCCTCCCGGGTGACACTCACAGCTCCATGCCCCTTCCCAAGGTGCAGCTCCTGGCTGCCGTCTCCCTGCCAGGGCTGGGAGCCCAGGGGAGACAGAAGCCACAGGCGCATGGAGGCAGATGGGGCTACGAGTTTGACCTCCATCCCTGTAGCCTGCAGGCATCGGGAAGGTGGGTGGAAGGACAAGACCAGGGAGACTGAGACCCAGAAACCCCAGGGAAATATCTGCAGCTGGGGGAGAGGGAGTGGCCTCAGCCCAGGGGAAGGAGTCCCCCTGGGCTACAGGCAAGGTCCCCAGAGGCCTCTGGAGACAGGAGGATGGGCTGAGGCCAGCGTTACACAGGGAATACAGACTTTCCACCTCTTGCCAAGAGCCTGACTGCCTGTTCCTCCGAGGGTCACCCACTGCAGGCCCAGCTCCCTCCTCTGTCCCCCAGGGAATGTGGAGCCCACTGCCCATACGGTACTAGAAAGGAGGGCTGGCCTTGCCGCCCCTGGGATCCGCGCCTTCCCCGCTCAGACAAGGGGCTCCACCCCCAGGAGCAGCTGGTCCCTGTCTGTCCCCATTCCCAGATTAGATCCGTTAAGAGATCCAATCTCCTCTCTGTGAACGGGGTGCTGGGGTCCTGGGGGACATTACTGTTGTTTGCCCTGGATCCCCAGCCCGCCCTCCTGCCCAGCCTACCTCCGCCATGGCTCTGGCACAAGTACGGGAAGCGCCACACGTTGCCCAGGCCCACGCAAAAGCCCACGCAGGTGAGCATGTACTGGGCCTTGTTGTCCCACTTGGGCCGAGAGCTGGCCTCCTCCTTCTCCATGACCTCCAGCTGCCCCAGGGAGGGGATTCGGTCCTCCAGGCCCGGGTTGGGCAGTACAAGCCTCACCATGGTGGTCACGGGCAGCTCCCTCTGGGCAGAACAGGACAGGAGCTGGAGGGCGAGTGGACAAAGCCAGAGCCCCAGTACTTTATAGGGAACCTTTGGCACCTCACCCCAAGCACCTAGGCCGAAAGGAAGCGTCAGCAGATCTGAAGGGCGAGTCCACGGGACTGTTAATGCCTTATCTTCAGAGGCCGGAGGTGCTGGCCGACCCTTTGAGGCTCTCAGCTGGCACTGGCCAGCCCCTCCCCCTGTGCAAACACAGAAGTCACGGGCACAGATGAACCGCCCCCGCACCCACCTGTACTCAGACAGCCAGACTCCCAGGGGGCTCTCCTGGCCGCTCCCTCTGGGAGCCTCACCGAGGAAGCCTGGAGCAGCAGGAGCTGGACTTGGACCCACATTCCTAGAGCTCCGGCCTCCCTGAGCCCCAGCCTCATAGCCCTTAGAACATCGAGGCCCCTTCCTGGGCTGTAAAACATGTTGTACATCCAACTGCACGGTGGATTTCCTGGGAAAAATTCAGAGATGGTGCCCAGCAGAAGGAAGGCCAGGTGCCCTGGGCAGGCGAGGTCTCAGAATCATCGTGACAAGGATGAAGGGGGCTGCCACCAAGGACCCAACTCGGTCAAGGTCCACAGTCACTTGGGTCCTTTCGCACAGCCCTGGCTGGGGGTCTGGGTGGGGTGCTAAAGAGGCGGACGGCTCTGGGATGGCACCGTGGGCTCATGGGGCTGCCAGTGGCCTCTGTGGTCTGAGCATTCTGAGATGCAGGGCCAGATTCTGGGTGCAGGGCACACGTGAGAGGGAGGGGGACAGAGAGAGAGAGAGATGGTGAGCAGGAGGTGGAGCAGGGGGTTCTCACAGCCTGGCGAGGGCACAGCATCCTGGGTCACTCCTGCTCGGAGCCTCCATCCTGCTTCTCCAAGGGGAAAGGACCAGGGCCCCACAGTGTTCCAGCTGGCCAGCTAGGATCAGTAGCTCCCCTTTGAGACCCCTCCTTGTGCCCCAGGCCCACACCTGCTCCCCCTCCTGGAGCCGTCTTCCCACAGCGTCCACCAGCCCTCCTCGCACCTCCCAGTCATGCCAGAGACACCACCGATCTCTGCCTCCCCCTCCAACAGGCTGCAGGTGATTCGGCTGCCTGGCTGATCGCTTATGGTCTCTCTTTCTCACGGGGATGTGAGAGCCACAGGGGAGCCTTCGCCTCCTGTTTGTTCACTGGCAACGCCCCTCAGACAGCGCCCAGTGGGTGCCTTGGAGAAACCCTGCTGGTTCCTGCAGCTGGAGCCTGGCTGTGCCCTCCCTGGATGGCCAGTCCAGGCAGGCAGGGAACAGAACCCTCTGTCCTGAGGAGGAGAGACCGGGGCGTGATGTGACCGGGCCAGCCCACCAGCCAGACCTGGGCCTGCTTCCCAAAACCCCGTCAGAGACCGATAGCAGCCAAGGCTCCCCTTCTGCCCTGGGACACTCCAGATGCTGTTCCGGATGGGCTTGGTCCTGGCCCGGCCAGGCATGCAAGGGATCGTCCCCTACCTGGGGTGGGTCACAGGCCCCTATCCTGTCCACCCTGCCCTGTTCTTTATAATTCTGTGGCACGTGCCCAGTGGTGTAGGGGATGCCCGCCTAAGATACGCCTTCTGTGTAAGTTCCCCTTAATAAACTCTGTTAGTTGCCAAACTGAAGAGGTAAGCAGGGCAAATTGTGAAAAGGTACAAGTGTCCACGATAAAGACACAGAGTGGGTCTGAGGGTGAGGATCTTCTCCGAAGGGCACATCCGCCAGAGGACAGCCCACCCTCCTCTTCCCATGAGCCTGGGGCCCTCTCCTCTCACCCACATCCTCATTCCCTGTCCTTCAGCCACGCCTGCCGTGACGACGTTTTGTTGAAAAAGAAAATCATGCTCGATAAAGAGGAGACTCTCAACTACCGCCTGGGGGTAAACACAGCTGTCCCGTTGTCCTGTAGGTTTATAAATATGTATGCATGGGTGCACAGGGCCCTGGGGTGACCTGTCGCAGCTCCCTTGTCCCACTGCTTCGGGACAGCATCCACTGTGTGCGCCGTTATCCTGAAAACCCCCACGCCGCCTGTTCCTGTCTCGGGCACACTCATGTCCGTACCCCCGGTGGAACCGCTTTGTCATTGTGCCGGTGTGCACGTGCCCAGCTTGAGAGGATGCTGCCATGGCCTGTGAGAGGGGTTGAGCCAGTTACCCAGCATCCCTGGGGAGGCCCTGCACCTTCGCCAGCTCAGTGTCCTTGCCTGATTTATACTGTGGCCGTTGTGCCAGTGCTAAATAATCACCTTGTGGGGGGTTTGTTGTTGTTATTGTTTTTAAGATTTTATTTATTACTTTTAGAGAGAGGGGAAGAGAGGGAGAAAGACAAGAAGAGATGGAGAAAGACAGGGAGGGAAACATCAGTGTGCGAGAGATACATCAATCAGTTGCCTCTCGTGCGCTCCCAACTGGGCACTTGGCCCACAACCCAGGCCTGTACCCTGACCGGGAATCAAACCAGCGAGCGACCTTTCAGTTCGCAGGCCAGCTGGTGCTCAGTCTACTGGGCCACCCCAGCCAGGGCTGTCCTGTGGTTTTTAACTTGCATTCCCCCGATGGCCTGTGCCATGGATCTTCATTCGTGAGCTGACCAGCCATCGTGATCCTCCCATTTAGAGGCCCTTTTCTATTGGGATGCTGACCCTTCCTATTAATTTTGAGGACACTTTACTATTTTCTGGGATCCAGTGCTTCAGAAACCCACTCCCTGACTCAGCCGCTGGCCTTCCCAACCCCTCAGCAGTGTCCTGGATGAGCACAAGCTCTCGTTATACTGTTGTCCGATCACTGACCCCTTTAAAAAAATCTTTGCCTACCTCAAGGTCATGAAGATGTCCTTGCAGGTTTTATTTCAGAAGCTTTATGGGCTGGACTTGGACATTTCAGTCAACAGTCCATCTGGAATTCTTTGGGATTGGTTTAGTGTGTGTGCCGTGTGAGAGAGCGGTCAAGATTCCTTTTTTTTCCCCCAATATCCGAATGATCCAGCACTGTTTGCTCACAACATCACCCTCCCTCCCTCTCTATGCAAAACTGCTTTTGTTGTGGACCTGTTTGTTGTTCGAGTCTGTGTGGCCTGTGTCCTCCCTTTTCACTCTGCTCTGCTGGTCTTGGTGCCACCTGCTGTCATGGGCACACGGTCTCCCTCCCTGCAGCTTTAGGCCAGGTCTTTAGAGCTGATGCTCTTCCAACTGTGTTCTTCTTCAAGAATGGAAACGTTTCAGCCCCAGCTAGTGTGGCTCAGTGTATTGAGCGCAGGCCTACAAACCAAAGGGTCGCAGGTTAAATTCCCAGTCAGGACACATGCCTGGGTTGCAGGCCAGGTTCCCAGTGGGGGGCACATGAGAGGCAACCACACATTGATGTTTCTCTCCCTCTCTTCTCCTGCCTTTCCCCTTTCTCTAAAAATAAATAAATAAAATCTTTTTTTTAAAAAAGAATGTAAACATTTCAGAACAAGCTTGTAAGTTTGACAGAAAACTTGCTGGGATTTTGAGTGAAGTGCACTAAATTTGCAGATTTATAGATTAATTTAAATGGAATCTTAACAATATTGTTTTTCAAACCACAAGCTAATGTGTTCCTCCATTAACGCATACCTTCTTTCCTCAATAATGTTTTGTAGATTTTTTTGCATGGAGGTCTTAAAGATCTTTCATTAGATTTATTGTTAAGTATTTGATTATTTTTTATGTGATTGTGAATGGTATTTTTTAAAAAATATCTATTTTCTAATTGTTTACTGCTGGTATATATAAAATATAATTTATTTTTGTATATAGACTTTATATTGAAATGCTTTTTAAACTTTTTAAAACATTGACTCAAATAATTTTCAATACAAAATTATGCCAACTGAAAATGACAGTTGTATTTCATTCACCCCATCCTTTGACTTCGTTTTCTGTTTTTGTTTTTTTGTGTTGTTTTGTTTTGTTTTGTTTTACCTCATTACATTGTGTCCAGAGCAACGGTGGACCAAACGGTCACCAGGAGGCCTTCCAGCCTCCTTCCCATCTCGTCAGAAGCCCCGCTGTTTCACCGTGGGACCATTGACATGGTGGCGATTTTTGTACGAATAAAACATCCCTTCTATTCTCCGTGTACTAAGAGATTCCTTTATTTTGTCATTGCAGATCTGTTGAGGTAGAACTATCATAATATCCAAATTGCTCCCTTTTTAGCACAGTCATAGCATCATGGGACCATCACTACGATCAATGCTGCAGCGTCTCGTCACCTCCGGGAGCCACCTGCACCCTTCAGCCATCACCCACCTCATCCCGGAGGGTCTTCCTTTATTATGAGTGGGTGACAAATGTCATGAAATAGTTTTCTACATTTTTGAAATGATTATTAATAGCTTGTACTCCTTTATTCTCTCAATGTGGTGCTTACCGGTAGGTTTTTCAATACGAAACAACCTTACATTCCTGGAATAATCCCAAATTGGCCATGATGAATAATTTATGCACCACCACTGGGTTCAATTTGCCACCGACAGATGCAGAGTTGTCACACCTGTGTTCCTGGACCCCAGGAGCCAGCCCACGTGTCCAAGGGCTGGCACAGGTGGCTGTCTCTGAGGGACTGCGGTCACACACTGCTCGCTCTCTAGGAGCACCGACTTATACCCCCACCAACAGAAAGCAAGGATAGTCCATTCTCTGCACTTCCTGTAAAAGAGATATTATTATTTTAAAATCTTTGCCATCTCATAAGTTCTAAAACACATAGCTTGAACTGGAGAGCCCCTCAAAGCCCTTGGGAAGAGGATGTGGTCCTTAATCCACTTTGTGTTTGTCTCTCACGTTGTATTTCAATGGGCCCACGTGCAGCATCAGACTTTTACACACTGGTGTTAGAGGAGGACACCTCACCCCTCAAGTCAATGGGAAATGTGTGCAGAAGGCTGACTTCTGACCTCTTCCTGTGCTGGGCCAGAAGCCAAGTGAGAGGGCCCTGCTCCTGGGAACGTCCCCTGGACAGGACCTGCTAAAGGACAGGACAACATACCCTGGCTGCGTAGGTCAGTTGGTTAGAGTGTCATCCTGATACGCCA